GCGCGGAAGCCTAACCGTGAAGGGTTGGCGCGAGTGGATGGGACACCGCGAGTTAAAAACTCGCTTCCATGGTTTGGTGAATTCAACATTCTCGGATGTACCCTTGGTTGCTCAGAGCGTTCAATCAGGTAGATGGAGCATGAATTCCCAGAGGGTTATTTCCATATGTAGAACACATATGGGTTTCAGAAAAAGTGAGAAAAACTCAATCAGGAAGTAGAATCGAGCAAACAGTGCTAAAAACTGGTCAAAATTAGAACGCATATTTCTGGATCGGTATTGGAAGAACTTGGCGCGAGCGAATAGAGGCCGGCGCCAACAATTTGGCTTTGGCGCCTGGCGACAGAAGTTGTCGCCTGGCGCCAGAGTCAAATCATCGGCGCTAGACTCTGTTTTCTGACGCTAGTTCCTACATGCCTCAGCAGCTTTCTGTACTCGATAAAAATTTTCAGTTTCGCGCAACATTATTTCGATCCTAGTTGTGAAAGATAATCCTCAAATTTCCTACATGTAAAAATCCTATGTTTTTAACTCATTACAGATGGTCTTTCCAATGAGATCTTTTTTATGCATATAACAATAATGTTAATCAAAATTATGCACATCAAATACTTAGAAACTTTTGAGTCTCATCCACTCATTCTAAATCATTGCCGAAATAAATTTGTAAATCGTTCACGAGGTGAAGGTTACACCCCTAAACGATCCAGGAGATCGTCAACTCCAATTGGTATGGAACCATGACTAGAAGTTCGAGGATGAAGGTACAAATCCAACATAAAAGAGATTGAACCTGCCCTAATAATAGGCCTCTACTTTATTCTGATCGTATTCATGTGCGCTTTCTGACTAACATGCAATCAATAGGTTTACCCTAAACCTGTTTATCCATATTGGTTGAATATTAAAGCACAAATAAACTATTATTGGCGATCACTTGAATTATAATCAAATTAACCCTAAACAACATTATTAATTATCTTATTAAGCGTGATTACAAGTACCAATTCCCTTTAAGCATGCATAAAAGGCGTGATCAAGCAATAACAATAAATATCAAGCAACATAATAATAAACAATTATAATCATAATAATAATCATAATAAATAAATTATAACAATTATAAGAATAATCATGTTAAAGCATAATAATAATAAGATCCTAGGCATGATACTAACAAGATTAATAACAAACTCTAGCATGTCACTAAGCAATAAAAATCAAAGCTTTAACCCTAACATGATACTAACAAAAATATTAGGAAGAGAATAGGAAGCATCACAATAATCATAATGGTCATTTCTGATATTAGAAATCATAGTTGTTACATTAAACATGATATTAGGAACTTATTGTTGTCATTCTAAACATCAAATTAAGAAAAGCATCCTAACATGACATTAAGAATCATAATAACAACCTAGACATGATTTCTAAATCATAATATCAATTAAACAATTAAAGCACTTACTTGGATGTCTCGTACCTCTTTCTAATAACAAAATACACGCGTTAGTAACTTCAAGGAAAATAATAAACAAAAAAATTAAATTAAATAATTGAAATAGAGAATTAAGAAAGTTTAGACTAGATTTGGGACCAAACCCTCATAAATTAAAACCCTTCACATCAAGGGCGAAAGCAACTTCGAACTTGGCTAGGTATGTCTAGTGTTAATGTATGAGGAATTGTGTTTGTAAAAAGCTAGGCTTAGAAAGAGAGAGAGAAAATCAAGAAATACTTGATGAGAGTTGGTGATTGAAAAAAGAATTAGAAAGAATAAGAATTGATGAGAATTGATGATTGTTGAGAATTCATCATTGAAAACAGAATTTTAAGAGACTATTTATAGAGAAAATCAGTCGGATGGATAAAAAAACGAATCAGAGTACCAACGAGAATAAAACTCGATTAGCACCAGACGTTGGACATTAGCGACAGGCGCTGAAGGTTAGCGCCAGGCGCTAATGCTTGTCGTAAGGCGCTAATAATCAGTTTCACGCGTTTTTTGTTTTTATCATATCTTTTGATCCAGAAGTCCACATAAGGCATATAATATGTTGTTGGAAAGGTCTTAAAGTCTACTTTCCAACTCAATTAGAAACAAATTGAAATATTTCGTAGATTAAAAGATATGGCCGAAATAGTGGAAGCGTGTTAGTTTTGGATAGAGTTTCATATCTCATTCATATCGTTTTCGTTAGAGCTCGGAATTAATATTATAATATATCATTGGAAAGATAATTTCAATATCTATCCAACCATGTAAAATTTGGATAAAGATTATGAGGCACAAAAATAAAATCTGAATATATTCCACTTCGTACAAAACAAGAATTCTAAAAAGGAGTAGTTTTATTCAATTTCAAACTCTTTAAAACATAATTATCAATCCTAACTCCATTAGGATTTAAAAGAACCTTCTAAAGTATTCTAGAAGACTATAATCAATCATAATAGCTTTAGGAATGATTATTTATATTAGGTCATCCTCTAGATCATTGGGTCGCATATAAATATCAAACTGGGCCCAGTTTAGTAATTTGGCCATAACTTCCTCATTATTCATCGGAATTGAACTTATAATATATCGTAGGAAAGGTCTTTTCAAGCCCCATCTATCTATACCATTATTGGACCCTTATCATGAATCAAACTAAACTGGAATGCACGTTTTTTCAAAAATAAGGTAAAAAAAGAAATATTTTCAAAAACAGAAAGAAGAGATATTTTAATAAAAACATCCTCATCACTAGACTTTTCACACTTTCACTTTGTTCGATAATCAAATGACGTGAAAGGTATTCATCACTGAGTTTGGTTTTGGGTAGACACATTTGGGTGTCTACAATATCCTTCTTTAACTTAATTTTAAAATCAAAATATTTACGACATACACATTATTTGTTGTAAGTTTATAATAGTATATTTCTTGAGACATATAGCGTTGGTGCATGTTTTTTGTGACCATTATCTTATCAATAAGCTTTTAACGAACTTGTAGCAAACTTTTTATGTGTTGGACGTGAATTTAAATTACCATGTATTTAACATTTTTTGTTAGTCTTGATTATTTATTAGTTGGTTTTTTTTTAAAAAAAAATGGTTTTTGAAGAATTATTCTATTGGGCTTTAATTCCATTGCACATGCAAGTTTTTAATACCCTACCATTCTCAAATTTATTACGTGCGAGTTGACTAAAGTACAAAAAGAATGAAGCTTTAAACCCATTTTTATATAATAATACTTTTTTGTATATATATATATATATATATATATATATATATATATATATATATATATATATATATATATATATATATATAATTTCTAAATAACAATGATATTCTATGTCAATAAAATATCCTACATCATATATATATATATATATATATATATATATATATATATATAGAGGAAGGCTCATATAAGAACCCTCCTCTATATAAGAACCCATTATATATAAGAACTAATCTGGACCGTACAATTAGTTTGATCTGACCGCTGAAAATAAATGATTAGTAAGGGCATTTTAGTAATTTTCGCTGTTCTTTTCCCTTTCTTTCTCCTTATTCACGTTTCTTCTTTCCTTTTTTTTGGGCTTGGAACATTACAGCTCTCTCTCTCCTCTCATACATTACAAATTTACAACTCTTTCTCTCTCCTCTCATACATTACAACTCTCTCTCCTCTCATACTTTTGGATTCAAATTCCTTCAAGAAATTAAGGTTTGTTATTCAATTTTTATAATTTTGATTATCCTTTTAGTTAATTTATTTATTGATATCTATTTTTTGCGAATTTTTGTTGAATTTTTTTTATTTTGGCGAATTTGTGAGAAATTTTATTTTTTCTAATTATTTGTGGATATGAAATTCATCAATTCGAAAATCAGCAAAAATCTGTTTTTTTTTCTTTTTGCGATTTCATCATTCAGTTTATGTTGATTTTATCTTCTTTTTTTTTTTTGCGAATTTTCTTGAGTTTTTTTTCATTAATTTCATCAATTTCGATTTTTCATTTCCAGAATTTTTCGATGTTATATGTTTTTTTGTTTTTTTTTCCGACTTTCGAGCAATTATTTTCTGTTTTTTTCGATTTTATCTGTTTTTTTTTTTTTGCGAATTTTCTTCAGTTTTTTTTCATTAATTTTTTGTTTTTTTTTTTTTTGCGATTTTTCATTTCCAGATTTTCTGTTTTTTCCTTTGCTTGAGTTTTTTTCCAGATTTTTGATTTTTAATGGATTTTAATTTCTAGTTGCTTTTTTGCTACAATATGTGTTTTTTTAAATAGGTTTTTGCATATTGATGGATTTAGATGGTGTTCAACCTAATTATCCTTCTTCTTATGTGACTTATTCAGGTAATTTTATTGTTTTTAATGTTTTAATTTCAATTTACTTACATGTTCTAAAGTTTCTTTACTACGTTCTAAAGTTTACCGGTAATGTTCTAAAGTTTTCTCTATATGTTCCCATCCGAATGATAAGCGCAAATGCCATGTTCCGTTGCCTGTTGAACTCCTTTTAGAATGCAGAATACATCGGAGTATGAAAGAGTGCTTGATGAAGGATTATAAAAAGTAGTATGTGTTAGATGCTTCATCCAAATATACCATAAATGTACCAATCGCAATTGAAATCTGCTACTGACACTGTATATTTTCACATGGAATTGAATGTGTAGTAGTGAGTCCTAGTGATAAGGGTAAACGGCAATACTAATTTAGAATTGTCATGAGTCACATCTTTATGAAATAGCAGAGATATTTTCACAAGCTATGTTAGAGTGTAGAGTCTATAATTTGCAACCCCACACATGCACTTGCAAATCACTGATTTAATATTTCTTCACTAGGCTTTTCAAACTTTTTTGAGATTGTTTGTTCTCTGTTGGAGCACTGTTTAGTACTACAAACTAAAATTAGATGGATTTTATCCACTATTTTTATTTCTTAACATGACTATATTGCTTGGCCAAAACAAAATACGGAGTATAATTCAAGTAGTGCAAAAAATAACATGAGCTAAAATAAAATATTATGGTACTAATCTGAGGAAGTTAAATAATTTGATAAATAAAAAATATCTAATCCATTTTAAATAATTTGTAATGATTCAAAGTAAACTGTGGGTAAACAATATCAATCATTATCGGATAATGCCACAACAACCTCAAGGCTCGTCTTGGAGCTGGGCATTGGGGGCTTGGGAGTTGGGAATGCTACTTTATCCTAGCAATCTGACATAGGGATAGTTGATGCATGTCACTGCTACTGGAATCACCGAACCATGGCCCCACCAATCTGACATAGGGAGTAGGGAATCCTACTTTATCTTTATATTCTAAAACTTTCATTCTATGTTCTAAAGTTTACCTTCTAGTTTTAAATTTTACTTTTTATGTTCTAATGTTTACTTTCATTGTATGTTCTAAAGTTGACCTTCTAGTTTAATTTTTTCACTTTATTCTAAATTTTATTATGTATGTTATAAAGTAATTCACTATGTTCTAAAGCAATATGTTATAAGTATGTCCCTAATTTACTATGTTCTAAAGTTTATCATTGATGTTCTAAAGTTTTCTCTGTATGTTCTAAAGTTTTCAATGTATCTTTCTCTTTATATTATAAAGTTTTTTTTTATGTTCTAATGTTTTCTTCATATTCTAGGACTTTCATTGTATGTTCTAATGTTTACTTTCATGTTCTAATGCAGTTGGTGATATTTATCGTACTTCAGAGGTTGTTGGATCATTTAGCCCTAGTGGTACCACTAAGGAATGGATTCCAAGTGTTCCCGAGGAGTTAAAACCCAGTTTGGGGATGATATTTAAAGATCCTGAAGAGGGTCTTAGTTTTTATAAAGCATATGCAAATGCCGCTGGGTTTACTTCTAGGAAATCTACTACTAAAAGGAAGAAGAATAACAAAGATATAATTGCTTTTCAATATGGAGTTTGCAATAAGGAAGGTTTTAGGGCAATAAGAAAACCTATTGCTCAACAAACAGTTTATGAAGAAGGAAAAGTTCGTATTACTAGGAAACGTTTAGTCACTCGTGTAGGATGCAATGCTCACATATGTATGAGATATGATGCTGGAAAGTATGTTGTAACTCATTTCAAAGAAGAACATAATCATCCTTTATACATTCCAAGTTGTGCAAAATTTCAGAAGGATAATAGAAAAATGCATATTATGCATAAAAAGTTGATTGTTGATAATTCAAAGGTGATTTATTTTTATGTACTAAATAATGTTTTTTTTGTTTTGATTTACTATGTTTTAAAGTTAATTCTTAAACTTAGTAATATTTTTTTTTTCTAACAGGTAAATGTTGGTCCTGTGAGGTCTTATACTATGATGAAAGAATTAGCTGGATCACATGATAATGTTGGTGCATCTAAACAAGATTTCAAAAATTTTTATAGAGATTTGAAGGCTTTTATTGATGGATCAGATGCCCAAATATTTGTGGATAATTTTCAAAATAAGAAATTGCTCTGGAGTGCATTTTTTTTTTCCTATGATGTTGATGAAGAATATAGACTTTGTAGAGCTTTATGGGCTGATCCTATCTGTCGAAAAAATTATGCACTTTTTGGTGATATGGTTTCTTTTGATACCACATTCAAAACAAACAGGTGATGTTTTAAATATAAATTTCTTTCATAATGTAATTAATATTTTACTTTTACATATTAATTTTTTAAACATATGTTCTTATATTCTAAATATCATGCCTTGTGTTCCTAAACAAATATCCATCATGTTTTGATGTTCTAAACAGATATTCTTTATGTTCTAAACTATGTATGCCTTATGTTCTAAACATATATTGCTAATGTTCTACCTTATGCTTTAAAATATATCCATCATGCTTTTATGCTTTAAACATTATGCTTTTGTGTTTTACACTTTATTCTTTGTGTTCTAAACTAATATCCATCATGTTCTAAACATTATGTCTATATGTTCTAAAGTTTACTTATAAGTTTTTAAAGCTACATTGTATATTTTTAGTTTAGTGTTTATGTTTTAGAGTAATTCATTATGTTTTAAAACAACTATATTACTGCCACGTTTAATAATTAAATTAAATTACTATCCTCTAAAGTTTATCCTTAATGTTCTAAAGTATACCTCTATGTTCTAAAGTTTACCTCTATTTTGTAACATTTTCTGCATAAATAATTTGTGTATGTTACAGATATAATATGATCTTTGGTCCATTTACTGGAGTTGATCATCATAAAAAATGTGTTACTTTTGCGGCTTCTTTTGTAGCTCATGAGGATATATCATCTTTTGAATGGGTTTTCAAAACTTTTCTTAAATCAATGGGAAATAACGAGCCTGTGTGTTTGATTACCGATCAAGACCCTACAATGAAAGTTGCTGTTCGTAATGTTTTTCAAACTACAGAACATAGGTTTTGTATGTGGCATATTATGAAAAAGGTGCCTGAAAAAGTAGGTCGGGCGATTGCCCAAGACACTGATTTCTTGAAAAAAATGTGTTCATGTGTTTGGCATTTAGAGATTGAGCCGGCAGAATTTGAAGAAAAGTGGAACAAAGTTATTTCAGAATTCCATTTGAACGATCATGAATGGTTGGCATACATGTACAACATACGTGATATGTGGATTCCAGCGTATTTCAGAGATTTATTTTTGGGTGGCATTATGAGGACCACATCTAGATCAGAAAGTGAAAATAATTTTTCCACTATGTTCACAAATCCCCATCTCACTTTGATTGAGTTCTACATGAGGTAATAAGTAATTGTCTCTCTACAAATATAAACTTAAGATCTTAACAATCATATATCCATTTTGTTCTCCTTTGACCACTTTTTTGATCTCCTAATCACTTTGTTCCGTTCTTCATTTACTTTTGCTGTTATTATCTTCCCACAATACTCCACTCTTAATTTTTTCATTTGGTCAAACTGCAAAAAAAAAAAAAAAGAGTAACTTTTAGAACATAAACAGAAATACTTTAGAACATAAGCATATAATTTAGAACATGAATATAATTTAGCATATAAGTATAAATAAATATAATAAACCATAATATATCTAAACAATAACTAAACCAAACCACAACACTAAAACCATAACACCAAAACCATAAACAAAACTAATTTAAAACATGTATCTTATGTTTTAAACTTACATTGTCTAATTCTAGTCTCGAATTCCATTGTTTTACAGATTCTCCTTCATATGTTTCCATGTGCTTCAACAGGAACACTCCACAATCATGTTTGTTCTTATTGCTCTTCCATGACATACTCAAGTTTCTTGTTTTGAAGGAGGATACAAAGTCACTCTTTATATTTGAGTCAATTGAGTGAACGAAATCACCAAATGCATTCAACTGAAAAATTGGATAAACTTTAGAACATATAAGGTAAACTTTAGAACATAAAGAAAAACTGTAGAACATAAAGGGAAAACTGTAGAACATATAAGGCAAAAGTTAGAACAAAAGTATAATTAAAAAAATGTAAACTTTGATGTCTTACCATTAATCTATGGTAATTTCCATATTTATTTTGAAAAGGAATATTTGGTGGAAGAAATCTGTTGTCAATCAAATCAAATGTTCCTTCCACAAAGTTGACACACAGCAAATAGTAGTGATCTGGTAAAACGACCGGGAAGAAAACCTAATAGATAAACAGAATTAGAACATAGATAAGCAAAATTAGAACATAAGCATGCATTTTAGAACATAAGCATATAGTTTAGAACACAAGCATATAATTTTTATAATATGTATTTTAGAAAATAAGCTTGTAGCTAAGAACATGTAGTTTAGAACATAAGTAAGTAGTTTAGAAGATAAATAAGTAGTTTAGAACATAAGTAGATACTTTAAAACATAGATAAAAATAATTAGAACATAAACAAAACCAATAATTAGAACATATAATAAGAAAAAAGTACAACATAATAAGATACCAAGTTACCAATTGAATGCTTTTGAAGCTTGTTACTTCGGCCGTTGTCATTTCTTGTTGCATTCTATCAAACAAAGCCTTCATTCTATCATCTTGCCTTTCATTTGATTCGAAGTATTTTTTTGTACAACGTATGAGCTGAAAAAGAAAAAGAAATTAAAACATAAGTAATTAGAACATAGGTGCATAGTATAATCTATATGAGAAACAAAAAGAATCTACTCTTAGAACATTGTTATTATTTTAAGTTCGAAAACATACATAGCATTCAGTAGTGAAAAAGAATCTACTCTTCTTGTCTACACCACGTCTTTTATTTTCAAAATTCAATAGGCAAACATAAGCATCCACAACATTGTTCAACATGTGTTTATCTTCTATGAGACTATGAATCTCATCTCTCGTAATCGTTGTCCCCATGTTATCAGCATACAAAAGCTCCCTAAAATCAGAAAAATAAAATCAGAACATAAGCATGTAGTTTAGAACATAAGCATGTAGTTTAGAACATAAACACATAATTTAGAACATAAGAATATAGTTTAGAACATAAGTACCTATTTTAGAACATAAGCATATAGTTTTAAACATGTACTTTATAACATAATCTCGTAGCTTAGAACACGCAGTTTAGAACATAATTTATAGCTTAGATCATATAGTTTAGAACATAAGCATATAGCTTAGAACATAAGCATATAGCTTAGAACATAAGCATATAATTTTAAAGTTTTAAAGTCTTACTTATTATCTCCTTGAGCAAACGCATACTCAGCTACCTTTCTATTGTCCACATTCTTGAAAAGTTTTTCATGTTCAACCATGAAAGGTGAACGCAAGTACATTGGAAGCTTATCCTTTCCTCTTTTTTTCCGTATCTTTTCTTCTCCTTTTTCTTCTCCTTGTTTCCTACTTAATTCAATTAAAAAATATCACATAGATAACAAAAACCATAACTAAATCAAACCAAAATTTATTGATAACAAAAACCATAACCAAATCAAACCAAAATTTATTATTACCAAGTTCTAAATTAAAATTTAACTAAACCATAACCAACATTTGTTTTAAAGTTTAACCTAACTTTTCTAAATATTTCTAACCTAAAGATCTAATGTTTACAAAATTATTACCCTTTCTTGTTCTCATTTTTCTTATTCTTTGTTCTTCTCTTCATTCTTGCTTCCTTCATTTTCTTTCTTCTCCTCTTGATTCTCCTCTTTTTCCTCCTTTTTCTTCTTCCCCTTTTCTTCTCTCTTCTCCTCTTGGATCTCCTCTTTTTCCTCCTTTTTCTTCTTCCCCTTTTCTTCTCTCTTCTCCTCTTGGATCTCCTCTTTTTCCTCCTTTTTCTTCTTCCCCTTTTCTTCTCTCTTCTCCTCTTGGATCTCCTTTTTTTCCTCCTCTTTCTTCTTCCCCTTTTCTTCTTTCTTCTCCTCTTGCTTCTCTTCTTTTTCCTCTTCTTTCTTCTTCTCCTTTTCTTCTTTCTTCTCCTCTTTCTTCTCCTCTTTTTCCTCTTCTTTCTTCTCCTCTTTTTCCTCTTCTTGCTTCTCCTCTTCATCCAATGTAGGTGGATGATCTGGATTCAGAAAAGCACAATTTAGAACATTTGTTGTCACTTCTTCGTAAGTGAGTTCTGCTTCATTATCTTCTTGATTTTCTGGGACATCAAACCATAAGTAGAAACAATAAGGACACAACATAGAAATAGTTGGAAAAAATTTAGAACATTAGAAATAACTAGAATATAACCAGAAAAATTTAGAACACAAGAAGTAACTTTAGAACATAACTAATTTACAACATAATTATATTATTTAGAACATATGCACATAATTTAGAACATAATCATACAATTTAGAACATATGCACATAATTTAGAGCATAACTAATTTCGAACATAATCATATTATTTAAAAAATATGCACATAGTTTAGAGCATAACTAATTTAGAACATAATCATATTATTTAGAACATATGCACATAATTTAGGACATAATCATATAATTTAGAGCATATGCACATAATTTAGGACATAAGAAAGTAGTTTAAAACATAAGCATCTGATTTAGAAAAAATTTAGAACATCAGAAATAACTTTAGAACATAACAGAAAAAATTTATAACATAAGAAGTAATTTTAGAACAAATCTAGTAATATTAGTTCAAAAGAAAAGAGTTTGAAAATAATGTAAAACTACCAACTGCTTGTGAGGGGGTCAATAAGTTGAAACTTGGAGGAGTTATATCAAAAGGTTGCTTCTTTTTTGGAGGAATTGGGGTTTTTGGTGACTCCTCTTTCCTTTTCTCTTTCTTCTCAATTTTTTCCTCCTCGTTTCTCTCTTTTCTGTCCTGCTCTTTTTCTTCTTCTTTTGATCCCAAATCTTCATAGCAATTACACCATAAAAATTAAGTATTATAGCAAATAGCAAAAAATAATTAGAAAATAAAAAGTAACTTTAGAACATAAGAAATATATACAATTAGGAGACAACCTAGAAATAGTTAGAAAATTAAGAATTAACTTTAAAGCATAACCAGAAAAAATTTAGAGCATAAGAAGTAATATTAGAACATATCTAGTAAATATTAGTACATAAAAAATGAATTTGAAAATAATGTGAAATTACCAACTGCTGGTGAGGGAATCAACAAGTTTTTGTCTTTATTCTCTTCATTTCTCTCTTCTTTGTTCTTATCTTTTTCCTCTTCCTTTGATCTCAAATCTGCTTAACAATTAGAACATAACTAATTTAGAACATAACTAATTTAGAACATAATCATATAATTTAGAACATAAGCATGTGATTTAAGCGCATGTTTTAGAACATAAAAAAGTACTTTAAAACATAAGCATCTGATTTAGAACATAAGTATAATTTGGAAATTAAGCATGTACATGTGAAATTACCAACTGTCGGTGACTTTGGTGACCTTGTTTCCTCGAATTTCTTCCATGCCTTATCCATAACCATATCCAATTCTTCAATAAATGTCGGTTCATCGAAGACATGTTGATCTTGGCTGAGTATAGAAGGGATTTTCTTTTCTTCTTGGTTCACGAATGTCTATAAAATAAGAAATTATAATTTAGAACATAATATGCATAATATTTATATAAATTTATTATACTTTAGAACATAAGCTGAAAATACTTTAGAACACAACCAGAAAATACTTTAGAACATAATTATAATACCTTTGTTGTGTACTTGCACCATATGTTGTCTATGAGATGTTGCATTTTTCCTGTTGTTTCTTCCTCAACAAAAAGATCTTTTGCTTGTTCTAACATGCCATACATCTCTTTAACATTCGAGGCAAGTGTTTTTGCCAAATCTCCAAATTTGCTCAAAAAGCCCTTCATTAGAACACAAAAATATTTTAGAACATAAAGGACATAACATGGATAATTTAACAGAAAAGGATTAAATGGAGCATAAAATATAATTTAGAACATAAACTAAATCATACCATCATGTCATTTCGAGAAGTTGTAGAACTAGAACCTATTGATGATTTTTCCATTCTCTTCTCTTTTTCCTTTTGTTTTGGTTGTTTCTTTTTTCCTTTTGGTGCTTTCTAGTATATAAATTATAAAATTTAGAAAACAGCAACATAAATTTTAAAGATTAGAATATAAAGGTTAGAATAAAGTGTTTTTAATTTTTACAAGATAAGCATATGTAGTAATAATTTAAAAGGTATAATTACCATTGATGACTCTTCCTTTCTCTTTTCCTTGTCCTCTTGTCTTGATTGTTTCTTGTTTTCTTCCTACACATTATAATATATGAATTACAAAATTTAGAATATAAAGGATAAACTTTAGAGCATAAAGAGAGAACTTTAGAACATAGGCAAAAGTAAGTTGAGTGATTAGAACATAAAGGATAAACTTTACAACATAAAGGGTAAACTTTAGAACATAATGGGTAAACTTTAGAACATAAAGTGTAAACTTTAGAACATAGGCAAAAGTAAGTTGAATATAAAGTTTAGAATATTTAGGGGTAAATGTTAAAATAGTTTATCACATAAAGTATATAGTTTAGAATATTTAGGGGTAAATATTAAAACATTTATCACATAAAATATATAGTTTAGAGCATAAAGGGTAAACTTTAGAACGTAAGCAAATATAGATAGAATATAAAGTGTAGTGTTTAAACATAAGCATATACAAATATCATACCACATTTGATTCTATTCTTTCCAAGAGTTTTCCATATCCAAATCCATGATCTTTTTCAAACTTATATCTCACTTGAATCCTTTCCTTTGTCCACACCGAAATTAGTGGACATTTTCTTGGTTTTTCTAACCCTCCTCTTTGTAGACGATCAAAATAGAATACCTATTTAGTACATGTTAAGAATTAATTAGAATATTTTTCACACATTTTCAACATAACAAGAATAATATATATACATAATGGTAAGAATTTAAAACTTACCATTAGAAAAGGTAAAGGACCTGTAAAGTAAGAATTTCCCTTCTTCCATACACTTACAAAATCTTTCAAGTGCTCAATCACAAATGTGCACCAATCCAATTCAGCAATTTTCTTTACATCCATACAACTATACAAGAATTTAATGTATAGTTGTGGGTTGTTTGTTGATCGAATGCAACAATTGACAACACATACCACAAAGTTCCAAAGAAATTCATCAGAAACTGATTTTTCCTTCTTCAATTCTTGAATTCTGTCAATCAATCTCTTGTTGGTTGGACTTCCCTTTTAGAGGTAAAAAAAAAACATATAAATTAAAACCTATGGAGATAATAGATCTATTTTAAAGCAGAAAACATTTTAGAACATAAGCAAAGCACTTTAGAACATACAATTTATAACATAACCATCTTATACCAATATAATATCATAAAAATAGCTAAATATAATTTTGAACATTACAAGTCAAATAACTACATAAATGATCTACGTTTTAGAACATAAAATTCATACTTTAGAACATAAAATTTAAAACATAACCACATTATATCATCATACTTTTTTGAGGCCAAACTTGCTTCTCCAAGCTTTTAGAAACTTGCTCCATTTCAGATTTGACTCATCATTTGGTTGCTCAATCCTTTTGCCTCCCAATGGCAACCCATAAGCCAAATGAACATCAATTGCCTCCAAAAAGATTTCTTGTTTTCTCTTTGGTAACATCAAACAACATCTCTCCGTGTCAAAATTCGTAACCAAGTTTTCTGTCAACCTAGAATTATAATGAAAAATGTAAGATTTAAAGCACAATACAGCTATATTTAGAATATAATAGTCAATCTTTAGAACATAGAAGATTAAAACATTTAGTATAATATTTAAACTTTTGAACATAATTTAGAACATTATATAATAAAAAAAAGTCTATTTTAGAACATAATAAACATACATTAGAACATAACAAAAAATTAATTTAGAACATTAGTGTATAGCAATTCAAACATGAGAGATCATAATTATAGAATACAAGAAGTAACTTTAAAACATAAGTAATTTACAACATAATCATATTATTTAGAACATATGCACATAATTTAGAACATAATCATACAATTTAGAACATATGCACATAATTTAGAACATAGCTAATTTCGAACATAATCATATTATTTAGAACATATGCACAAAATTTAGAGCATAACTAATTTAGAACATAATCTTATAATTTAGAACATTAGTGTATAGCAATTCAAACATGACAAATCATAATTTTGAACATAACATTGATAATACTTATGATTTTAGAATATGATTTTAGAACATAACATTCTACTACTTACATAGAATTAATATGGATTGGTAAATCCAATTCCAAAAAGCCTCCAAAACCAATGTTCCGAATAGCTTGCTTTTGTTTTTCCGAAAGATTTATCAACACATCCTTCATGAATTGAGTAGGAGGTACTCTTTGATAAGGTTGCCTCTTAACTAGTTTATCTTGCTCATTAGCTTCTACTACTTGGACATCCTCACCATCTTCTTCTTTTTCAATCTTTCTTTTCTTCTTCTTCACATCCTCACCATGAATAGATAAACATAATTAGAACATAGATAAGAAAAATTAGAACATAAGCGTGCACTTTAGAACATAAAAATAAAGATTGTAAAGATTAAAGAGTATTATTACCTGAGTTTGATTTTTTTTATTGATTTTTTGTTCCTCCTCACTATCATCTTCCATCTCCTCTTTTTCATCTTTCTCTTTCATCTTTACATCACCCTTATTATCATCCTCACCATCATCTTCACTATCATTATTCTCGTCATCATCCTCAACATTATTACCCTCTTCTTCTTTTTGATCTTTTCCTTCTTCTTGATCTTTTTCTCTTCCTTCCTTTTTTTGCAATTTTCGAGGTGGTTGAAGCCTTGTTGGAAGTTTTCTATGTCTTATAGCAACACTTTTACTTTCAATATGCTTCTCAAATTCCGATCTATCAATTACTTCCGCTTCAACGTTTTCAACTTTCCTTTAAAAACAATCAAAAATAATTAGAATACAACTAACATTAAATAGAGTGCAAATATAAAGGGATAAGATGAACATAAACTATAATGGATACATATTAGAACATAATACAAATCTTCAGAACATAAGAGAAAATTTTAGAACATAATGGAAAACTTTAGAATATAATGGAAAACTTTAGAACATAATACAGATCTTTAGAACTTAAGGGAAAACTTTAGAACATATTGGAAAACTTTAGAACAAAATTTAAAACATAATAGGTAAAGTTTAGAACATTAGTTTAGTTACCTTTTTCTTACATAAGTAATTTCTTCTTCTTGTATATTAGTAACTCCTCCTTCTGATTTTTCTTCATTTTGGCCTTGCATTTTACTGCAACATTAAGAAATCAAAAACATTAGTAACATTCCAACATTATTATTATATTTTTGAACATAGGAATAATTTAGAATATGCTGAAAAATAGTTTAGAACATGCTTAAAAAGAGTTTAGAACATGCTGGAGAGTGAAAAACCCAAAATAGAATGAGTAAACTAGAAATTTAAAAGACAAATGAAACAGAAACATGATAAGGTTTGATTGAGTTTATTTTCAGCCCATGTTCTAAATTATTTCAACCTATGTTCTAATTTTTTCCTATGTTCCAAATTTTTTCTACCTATGTTCTAAAGTTTATTTTCAGCCCTGCAATCACAAGTTCACTACCAACAACCCCTAACTAATTAGTTGTTGCTGCATAAATCAACCACCACACCACAACCCCTACAAACAGGGGCAATCGCACCAACATCTCCAATTTCGAAATCAAAATTCGAAAAAATCACTAATTTTTCCAATTTTCCTTAGCTTGGTTTGTAAGTGGATGAAAATAACTTTCCAGGTTGGAATAGTTTTTCTAAGGGGGGGAAAAGCATTCCTGTTCTAAGTAAGGAGAGCTACATGTGCTTCCCCAACTTAACTTCCTCCCCCTTCCATTTCTAACCCTTCATCTCCCCTTCTTCCTTTCCTCTCCAAATTTTCAAGCAAAGAACCAACATAGGAAAATTAATCTCCATTGCAATAATATTCCATGGATTAAAGTTAGTTTGAATTGTTTCTTTTAAATCAACACAACTTAAGCGATAAACTACTTAGGAATTTTCAGCCTAAGAGATTCCTTCTAGAAATCAATTTTCATTGGGAGTAACTCCTATGACTAAAAATTCTGTTCACTGTTTCTGATCCTCACTAATCTGGCACAATTCATTTCGATGCTACAGATCAAAGCACAAAATAAAAATCAAGCATCTCCTCCAAGTTCTACAAATATCAAGTGTCTACTTGATATTGCAAATTTATTTTTTTCAACTCCCGGTCTCGCTACACAATTAGATCGTCTATAAACTACTCGAGGCATTTTGAAGCCATATTTGATTCAAGCTATATTCAATCACATGATACTCCTAAATATGATCAACTAATTGTAAAATATCCAAAAATAAATAAAAAGAGCAAGTGGAAAATTTCATAAGCAATCAATGTCAAATTACAAATCTGGTAATCAAGATTCATTTAAAATGCAAGGTTCTAATATATCAACTGAAACTCAGGACCAATTTCAGTTGCAAAGCACAAAACTGACAATCAAAATTCATTTAAAACGCAAAACTCTAATTACCAGCAGAAACTTACCACCAATTTCAGTTACAAAGCACAAAATTGACAATCAAAATTCAATTAAAAACCTAAAATCAAATCAAAAAATCGGAAAACATAAAATCGCAAAAATCAAAACAAAAAATCGCAAAATCTACTTGAACAACATGCTAAGTTCATGGAAATTTGAACAAAATAAAAAAAAAAAACGCAAAATCAAATCAAAAAATCGGAAAACATAAAATCGCAAAAATCAAAACAAAAAATCGCAAAATCTACTTGAACAACATGCTAAGTTCATGGAAATTTGAACAAAATAAAAAAAAAACGCAAAATCAAATCAAAAAATCGGAAAACATAAAATCGCAAAAATCAAAACAAAAAATCGCAAAATCTACTTGAACAACATGCTAAGTTCATGGAAATTTGAACAAAATCGAAAAAAAA